ATATGATAGTTTATAAATAATCTCTAACGTAAGCAGTCTCTGTCTCTATCTCTGCGTGTGTGTGTGTGTGTGTGTGTGTAGCCTGCAGACACAAAACAGCTGGACTCGCTCTTATCTAAAGTTTGATAGGATATTTTACTCAAAATGAAAACTATCTTATCATTTATCACACTTATGTCGTTTAAAAAGCTGGAAGGCAGGAGAATATGTTTTTTATTAATGTTAGCGGCTAAATATTTGTGTTACCACAGACTTTCATTATTGCTTAACGTTAGTAGCTTTTGACTTTTATCAAAACATTATCGTTTACATTCCTCGCAGAAAGGGTCAAACAGGTTTGGGAAAAGCTGAGGTGAGTAAATGATGACAGATGGCCATTTATAGGTGAACTATCCCTTTAAGTTAAACACTCCCTGAATGACAGTCGACGACACGCGTACTGACACCATACAGGCACCATCCTAATCTACAGATAACATATAAACAAAAGCATAACGCAGTCCGTAAATGACCGCGTGGGTTTCAAATCTCAAGTGCATACTAAGGTACGAGCTAATCACAGGCCAGTTCCTCCTGAAACTCCGCCATCCCCCTTATCCGCCGCCCTTCAGTGCTCGGTTTAACAGTGCGGTTAAGGATACTTGTTGGACGGATCGTTGCGTTGATGTATCCGGGGACTGTGACTCCTTGAGCAGCTGTAGGATCTGCTGAAGCCCCTGCTCGTCGGGTTTCCACTGGCACTCCATCTTGTGTTGCTGAAGTCTCTCTCTCTCTTTCTGTAGGCGCACAGATCTACACCCTTTCACATCAAATAACGGCCTCCACCTTGACCTTCAGCTTCGGGCCGACTATTATGGAGCTGGGGGTGAGGAAGACGCCTCTGCAAGGGATTGTGGTGGCTGGACCCGGGTGAAATTGCGCGTGTTCCGCGGGCGGTGGTGGTGGTTGTTGGTGGCGCTAGGCTAGCTTACATACATTCAGGGACTCGGTCTGGTCCGGATCACCGCACATCGCAGCGATAAGCCTCTGTGCAGTAGCGCCCGGGTCCTAGTGCCCGATAGGTAGCTCACTGGACTAAAGGAGTTAGCGGGGAAACCCTTGATGTGACCCCCAAAGCATTAATCTTAAGCCCGGCTAGCTCAGTCGGTAGAGCATGAGACTCTTAATCTCAGGGTCGTGGGTTCGAGCCCCACGTTGGGCGAATCATTTATTTACATTGTTAGACTAATTCAGTGTATTTCATAATCAGTACAATACGAATAGTTCACCTAAAATAACACAACTCGTTTCTCTCTCGCATGCTCTCTCTATATATATCATATATAATTCATTTTAGGAACGCAGAATATAAAGTGTTGCAATGTATTGTAAAAAAGTCATAAAGTCATAAAAATATATCACCAGTCACTTTTCTTACACTTCTTCAAAAAGATGCAGAAATAGACAAACTACACTTTATTAAAGTGACTTAATTCCTAACTTGATTACAGCAACTGAAGGAAACAGTAACTGGCTTAAACCAGCAGGAGGTGCTCATGTAAAAGCCCGAGATTGAACAGGCTGTGCCTTCAGAATGTGTAAATCAAGAACACTGTGTATAATATAAATACTGAACTTGAGAGTCTAGATGTGTCCTCTTTCTATAGGTTCATTCTAACAGCAGTCCAGACTGAAGAGATTTACGAGTCCTTTGTTTGATTTGTCTGTCTTTCTGTGGTAGCTCCAGAAGTCTCCTCTTCCTTGATGGAGTGTAACACAGCAAATCATCAAGTGTCATCTCCGTGATCTGACCGGCCTTTTCTAACTGTGTCAGCACCTGTTCTACCCTCTCCTCCCAAACACTACCAGCACTCTTTCTTCTTAATACATTTACCTAAGAGCAAAGAGAAACGGAAAAAAAACAGTGACACACATTAAAACCTATTAAACCTAAACTGTAAAACTTTAAATGTTAAGATAACTTAAACCATTTGAGGAAACCAATTGCAACAAACCATTTAAGTTCAAAAACTAATCCAAATCAGTACTGTGAACTTAATCCATTTGAGTAAACAAAGCAATATGAGCACAGTAAAACCCAAACCAACTGAGTACTGTTATGTTAAAACCCAGTAAAGTCAACACAAACCGTGTGAGGAAACCGATTACAATTTAAACCTTTTCAGGAAAAAAAAACTAATCTAGATGAGTATGTGAACTTACTCTATTTAGGTAATGAGCTTTAACACCAAGTTCAAAACTCTTTTCAAATGAGTAGAATTAACGTCCAGTCAATTTTGAGTTAACTACACGCATTTCATTTGATAAAGTTGATTGTTGAGTTTTACAGTGTATCACAGCTTATATGTTCACAGGCCCGTAGCCAGCCTGGTGAAACGGGTGGTTCCTTTTTCTCAAAAAGTGGACCTTTTTACAGTTATATGCTACAGTTTCTATTTAACTATGAGATTTAAATACTGCACTTTACTGGATTAACTAGTCAGAGTGGTCATCATAACCACACTTTTTGATGTACTAAAATATTTCCTAAAAAATTGCAATTAAAAAATTAAAACAAGACTTTAATTTTTAAAATACAAATTTATTACATCATATATCATTAGAAATAAATAGCAATATGTTAAAGTTTGAAAGTAAAAACAAAACAAAAAAACTGTAGCCTACTATCATTTATTAGACAAAACAAACTGGCCAGCACATTAAACTGTCCTCAGTTTGGTCTTAAAGCCTTTTTCGATGGATTATTTTCATTATTTAATGGCATAGCGGTCAAAATAGGACAAATGAGCTCATGTATGGGACAAACTCTGGACCTTTGTGAGGGATGGGTCTTCCGAACACCCCTGGCTAAAGGCCTGGAAGGTTAGAACATGTTTTATGCTTATACTGTTTTTAATAGAATTTTGGCTGTAAAAGCGCACCTACAGGTGTTTCAGGCGCAGGTCAGATTTTTTTCCAGGTCAACATTTATTTTATTTATATTAATTTATGGATTATACCTTTCCAGTTTCATCTGGAATGCATCCCAGATCACCCTCTGAAGTTGTTTGAGCGATCGGATATCTGATCAGAATAAAACGAATGAAGTGACCAAACAGCCTCATAAACACAGTCGTGACGGGATTAGCGCTTTTTAATGTGAAGTGACATCTGACAGCTGAGGAACCCGCTTGCAATTTAAGCCTTCGTCGGAAAGTTCATTAAAAAAATAATGTCAAAAACAGGGAACGGGAGGTCATGTACTGGACAAGTCAATAAACATACAGGACGTCCTGGCTAATGCGGCCAGTTATGACCTCTCAGGGGGTTATATATTTTACACTCTATGGTTATGTCACATGACTCGCGGCTTTGAGGCTCCATGAGATTCGAATTACTGGCCATAGTTATTTAAAATTACACTTTATTACATTTTTTTATTAAATATTAATTTAATACTATTAATTATATAATAAATATAATATATAATATTAAATTGCATAAAATAATTAAATCACCCGAACCCCCCCCTTGGTCTGGTCCGGATCACTGCACATCGCAGCGATAAGCCTCTGTGCAGTAGCGCCCGGGTCTTAGTGCCTGATAGATAACTCACTGGACTAGAGGAGTTAGCGGGGAAACCCTTGATGTGACCCCCAAAGCATTGATCGTAAGCCCGGCTAGCTCAGTCGGTAGAGCATGAGACTCTTAATCTCAGGGTCGTGGGTTCGAGCCCCACGTTGGGCGAAACATTTATTTACATTGTTAGACTAATTCAGTGTATTTCATAATAAGTACAATACTTACTAACAAGTAGTTCACCAAAAATGACCCAACTCTCTCTCTCTATACAGTTAATTTTAGGAATGCAAAATATAAAGTGTAGCGATGTATTGTAAAATAATCATAAAGTGTCCATCAAATTCTAAAAGTTTCAATTGAACGAATGCTTAGGGTTATTTAATGAACTACACTTATATTAAATAGCATGACTGATAATGTAAAAGAAACCCATGAAACTGAAAATAGTCATATCAATAATATAATAATATTAATATGAACCTTGCTTGCCATGCATATAGGCCCATTTATTTAAAAAAATATATACTTTATCATTCGGGCCTGTAGCCAACCTGGTCAAAAAGGTGGTTCTTTTTTTTTTTTTTTTTTTAATTGACCTTGCAGTTATTCACATCATTTTCTATTTAATTCTAAGGTAAAAATATATAATATAAAATATAAATAAAATAAATAAAAATAGGCTTAAATACTGTTAGTGACATTTTAAGCACCATTTCTTTCGCTGGATTAGCTTGTTGGATGGTCATCATAAAGACACGTATTGATGTACCAAAAACATTTCCTTAAGATTTAGAATAAAGTAATATGAAAACAATACTTTAAAAAAATACAAATTCATCACACTATATATATATCAGTAGAAAAAAATTGAAATCTGTTTTAAATTAAAATCTGTAGCCTATTGTCATTTATTAGGCAAATAACAAACTGGCCAGCACATTCAACTTTCATCAGTCAGAACTTGGAATGCCAGAAGTCACACTGAAGCAACAGCTAGTACATGATTCAAGTTGTTTTTTTTACATGTATAGGACCTGTCACTGAGGGGTGGGTCTCTCAAACCACCGAACCCCCCTGGCTACTTCTTGTATGTCTCTTCCAATATAAAACATGTCACAGGCAGTAACACCATATGAATAATACGATATGTTGGTAAACAGTCATGTTTAAGCGCTCAATCAATGCTAACAGTGTTTAGTAAAAATAAAATCTAATACATCTCATGCATGCATGTAACATACAAACAACACACAACAGCCCATTTATCTTCCAGCAGAACATCTAGAAAAAGTTCGGAAGACCGTATAATCACACTGATTTCCAGTGTATACTGAGTATAGTAAGTTGCTGATTTACAGATACAAGACTCTTAATAAACTAAGAGAGTGGACGCGTATCACCAGTCACTTTTCTTACACTTCTTCAAAAAGATGCAGAAATAGACAAACTACACTTTATTAAAGTGACTTAATTCCTAACTTGATTACAGCAACTGAAGGAAACAGTAACTGGCTTAAACCAGCAGGAGGTGCTCATGTAAAAGCCCGAGATTGAACAGGTTGTGCCTTCAGAATGTGTAAATCAAGAACACTGTGTATAATATAAATACTAAACTTGAGAGTCTAGATGTGTCCTCTTTCTATAGGTTCATTCTAACAGCAGTCCAGACTGAAGAGATTTACGAGTCCTTTGTTTGATTTGTCTGTCTTTCTGTGGTAGCTCCAGAAGTCTCCTCTTCCTTGATGGAGTGTAACACAGCAAATCATCAAGTGTCATCTCCGTGATCTGACCGGCCTTTTCTAACTGTGTCAGCACCTGTTCTACCCTCTCCTCCCAAACACTACCAGCACTCTTTCTTCTTAATACATTTACCTAAGAGCAAAGAGAAACGGAAAAAAAACAGTGACACACATTAAAACCTATTAAACTTTCAGTCAATTTTTTGTTAACTACACTCATTTCATTTGATAAAGTTGATTGTTGGGTTTTACAGTGTATTAAAATCTGCCTGGTTCAATCCAATCGCATTTTTTCACATTGCAAAACAATATTACAATTTAAAATGTCAAAAATGTCAAGTTTTTTGTCGTTTATGTGACAGCAAAGCTGAAATAAAAACAATGAAAAAAAAAATCACTAAGTACTACTAAATCACAACTTTTTTTATATTAAATATTTTACAAAGATATGTGTACACGAATCAATAATTATTTTCATTTGTTTTTTTTTTGGAAAAAACCTCTTGTGGGCATGGGCTTAACAGCAGTTTACTCCAATTGGCTAGAGATTTTGATGGACAGGTTTGTGCCAAAACAAAAAATGAAATAGAGAATGAGAAATTACAAAGCATAAGTGATATCTGTTGCAGTGCTCTCAGAAATTATGATTTGTGAAAATGGGTTTCTGAATCATTTAAACTAGGTGAAAAAACATGCTCCTTTTTATTTAATTTTTTTCTATCATCTGTAAAATGTATGTTCATTTATATTTATATCATATTATAAATGTATTTTCATATACCTCTGAATAGAATAATAATAATTATAATATTGTTGGCAGCTACTTTTGAGCTTTATATCACTACTTTTGTTTTATACACAGTAAAACATAAAAAGTTAAGGTAACTCAAACCATTTGAGGAAATCGGTTGCAACAAACCATTTAAGTTCAAAAACTAATCCAAATCAGTACTGTGAACTGTATTACTGTAAAACCCAGTAAGTTAAAGAAACTCAAACCGTTTGAGGAAACCGATTGCTAAAAACCATTAGAGTTACAAAACTAATCTATATAAGTACTGTGAACTCTATTTAAAGTAATGAGGCACTTGATTAACTAATTACCTTTACTGAGTTCAAAACTCTTTTCAAATGAGTAGAATTAACTTTCAGTCAGTTCAGTTAACTACACTCATTTCATTCGACAAAGTTGACTGTGGGGTTTTTACAGTGTATCGCTAATACTGTTGTGTCCATAATTCATTGTGTGTCGATAATTCACTGAAGAATAAGTAGAGTACGTGTGTGGAGACTCGACTGGTGTAGTTGATATCTTACCACTTCTCGAGAAAACTCTGGTTTCCTCACCAGCACTGGAGTCTCTGATATTCTGGCTGTTTTGAGGACATAAACTGCCTCTTTCATGGACCCTTTTACAGCCAATATGAAAACCTGAAAAGAGAGCGCTTACACTTTTAGTATGCAAACTCTTTTTGTCAAGACTGAAGATTTACATATAAGCCACACTTACCCTCAGGTTCTGGCATAGCCGAGTCCCTGTGCTCATGATGTGAGAATAGAAGATCTGGGCTCTTTCTAGATCATTCTACAACCACAAAATAGATTCACTGTAAATATAGCATGATGCACCACCATCTGTGATGATTCAGTGACATCCAAATGCCATTTAGATACTAAAATGTGATGTTAGATCAATCAACGCACGACATATGGCATCATATACTGTACCATACAAAATGTGTGTACAGTGCTCAGCATAATTGAGTACACGCCATTATGAATATTTTTATCAATTTCTCAGTGAATATGGGCAATGTATTTTGGTGCATTTAAACATCAGATTTATTAAACAGATATATTTATTAAAATAATATTTAAGTCATCAAACGTTTACAAATTGAAAAAAAAATACAATTAAATTCAAGCTAAAAAATTTACAACCTACAAAATTTCAACACAATTTTACATTTTTTTTCTTGCTTCTCTTGATTTTTCCTCTTTTTAAATTTGTATTTAATATTTTTTATAACGTAAATTTGGGTGTACTAGTTTTTGGACCATCGTCATAAGTTATTTTGTTTCATATGCTCCAGATTTGGCCTCTGTACTGACTTTAAAAGATAGATTTGTGAGGGGTGTACTTGTATATGCTGAGCACTGTATAGTCAAGCCAGAAATTATTCATACCCCTGGCAAATTCTGACTAAAAGTTACTTTTATTCAACCAGAAAGATGTTTTTAAGCGCAAATGATGCAAAAGACAATCTACAAGAGGCATCATTGTGGAAATTGTTTTTTTTTAAATCAAATTTTATTTACCTTTTAACAAAAAGTGTCAGTCAAAATTTGCCAGGGGAATAAATAATACTGGGCTTGATTATACAATTTTTAAATTAGATATTGCTCTTTGAATCAGTTTACCTGTTTTAAAGCAAGAGCAATTGCAAAGCAATAGGCACGTCGAGGGATGATGTTGCCTTTTGTCTGACCTTCTTCCAACAGGGTCAAACATATATGATATGACCTTGAGGTGTTCTGCCAGTCCCAAGATATAAAAACAGAAATGTGTATAGAGTGTGTAAATTAAAAATCAAAAAGTTTTACTTAACATTACTTGAAATTGTAGTCAAATGCCACGTTTTTATAGAAAAACCATATGAGTTATAAAAATCTCATATGAAACAGACACGAAACATGGCATGTTGTGATAACAATAAGAACATTTTCATCTCAGGAAAAGTAAACTGAGATAGTTTTTTTTTCCAACTTTTTTTCAACTTTTTTTTTTTGTAAATAATACTCACTCTCAATTGCTCCCAATGTTTTATGAACTCATTTCTTCTGTTGTACACAAAATGAGATATTTTAAAGAATTTTGAAAATCAGTAGGCATTAATATCAATAGTACTATACAAGCACTATAAACGTTGGCTGCTGGTTTCCAACTTTCATAAAATTGTCTTCGACAGAAGAAAGTACATTTAACAGGTTTGGAAAACGTGGACAATAAGTAACAGATGACAGAATCTGTATTTTTGTGTGAACAATCTCTTGAAAAATATTTAGTCTTTTATTGGTTTTCATGTGGTGAAATTAGTTTGTCTTTTCTATAGTTTCTATCAGAAATCTCTGATAAATCTTATTGATTTTACTACAATACACATAGTGGCTTCTTGAGTGTGTTTACCAGTTTATAACAAATAGCGAAGACAAGCATGAAGGTGTCTCTGCTGAGCGACACTCCTTGTTTTTTCATTTCTCCAACCACCTCCAAGCCACCTGTGGGAACATGATCAGTGACCCACATCACACAGACTGAAACCATGGCAACAACAGACAGACTTTGTTTTTTGCATGTTTTGCAGCCAGAAAGCAGAACTGATGAAGGATTCTGGTGATGAATTCCCTCACAAATCTCAGATAAGCATTTGTGTCAAGGGTTTTTCAAATTTAAGACATTTATCAGTCCTCTAATACATTGTTTCCCAACCCTGCTCTTGAAGGCACACCAACAGTACACATTTTCAACCTCTTCCTGTTCAAACACACCAGAATTAAATCATTAGAACATTAGAAGACACTCAAAACCTGAAATGTATGGTTCAGATAAGAGAGACATTTAAAAAATGTACTGTTGGTGTGCCTCCAGGAACATGGCTGGGAACACTGCTCTAATGGACATATTCAAGTATCATTCTCCACTAGAACAAAGAGCTAAGTTCAAATAACTTACTTTCATAGAGTTGTTTATTAAACAGCATGTCAATGGTGATATTAAAAGAAGTGGTGTCTGAAAAAAATCCTTTGAGAGCCTGTGCATAAAAAAAAACAAAAAAAACAATCTAAAATCACACTACAGCACTGTGTAGTCTCCAGTAAACAGATAGCTTAAATACTATATAACGTTTGTTGATTTTGACATACCGGATCTTTTATAGTTGTGGCTGCCAGCTCCTCTAAACCCAGTTCATAGCATAATCTCATGAAAAGAGGACCAAACTTGAATTCCCCAAACACTGTGGTTCGATTATTTTCATGGTATCTGTATCAATGGACAGATATAAAAGGAGAATGCGGTTATCACATACACAAAAAAAAATTACATTACCGGTCAAAAGTTTGGGGTCAGTATGATTTTTAAATGTTTTGAAATAAGCTTCTGCTGCTCACCAAGGCTGCAATTATTTGATCAAAAATACAGTACAAATTGTAAAATTGTGAAATGCTATTGCACTATAACATAACTGTTCAAAAGTAGTTTATCATTTAATTTCATCATTTATTCCAGTGATTTTAAAAAATTATTTTCAGCTTCAATACTCGTCTTCAGAGTCACATGATCCTTCAGCAATCCCTGTTATTTTTACTGTTATTATTTTTTATTGGTAATAGTAATGAAAGCAACAATGACTGGAGTAATAATTTAATTTGAAACCACATACAATAAGAAATTATCTTTTAATTTTTTGTTTTTTTTATTAAAATAAAATTTTTTATCAATTTTTGTTACATTTAATAAATGTCGCCTTGATGAACAGAATAAAAAAAAATACTGACCCCAAACTTTTGACTGGTAGTGTGCAGAAATTATAGATATCCGATTAAGCTTCAATACTAACATAAAAATAAAATGTAACAAAAATATTAAAGTGAAAATTATTGTTTCACTTCTTTTCTGATTTTTTTTTTTAATTATGATTAAAAATGATTAAAATGCTATACACTATAAATATAATTTGTGGGGAAACAACAACTACCATTTACGATGAGTGCAATGATTTTTTTCCTGAAACAATTCATTAAATTAATCAAAACACTGTTAAAGTTAAAGACAACATTTGTTGTCTTTAGGAAGGAAACATTTCAAAATATTAATCAAAGATTTTTGTTTGTTTTGTTAAATACATATCTGTGTGTATAATAGACCCCTAACAAACTAATGTAACTACCCTTGTCATATAAATACTACTATTGCTTAATGACAATAATATATAATAACCAATGAAGTTTTACCTTTTAATGACATTTCTGGCCACAATAACATCCTCAGCAGACTGGCATGAATGCAGTAGAGTTTTCAGCTCAGTCTTTAAAATGATCTCATTTTTCTCCAGTTTCTGATTCACTATATCAAAACGATAATCTGTAAAGATAAAAAGAAAAACACTCAGGAAAAACAGAGAACCATCAGTTCTGAGTTGTAAAGGTGCAATCAATGACTTTTGTATATGCTGTAGTGGCTAACGCGACAGTAGCATAAATTAATACTGCAGTAGCGTCACACAGAAAAAAAAAGTTTTTTTGTTAATGATGCAAGCAGCCGTAACTGATAACTGCCAAACTGTCTGATAACAGAAATACTAAGATAAATATCATAGCTTTCAATCAATCAAGTCAGCCTCTGTAAGCCGATTCACATCATGTAAATGAAAACACATTTTTTTAGACTGAAGTTTTTTTAAATGGCATGCAATAGTCTATATTGTAAATCCTAATGTTCTTATCATCTCTTGTTAAAATAGAACTTATTAATGAGACAGATACAACTGAAAGTACCTTAAAAGTAATAAGATGTGAACAACAGAAAGGTGTATGATAAGGTAAATGATGCCTGCCTTTCAATTGTGACATTTCATGGGAGAGTTTCTTCTGCTGGAACTCCTGCAGCTTCACCACATCTTCAGATAAGAGAAAGCGCTTGGCTGAAAGAATGTTAAACAATTCAGTTCCTCTGACCAACTTTCTGTAAACCAAATTCATAATTTGTCTAATCACCAGATTGTTTTTGGAAATATTTAGACGCCAGATCAAACAAGGTACATATTAAAAAGAGAAAATGGGTAACCAGTTTTTCAATCCACAATTAGACCTGTGAGGACAACAGTGTTGTTTTATTAACACAGTGCTATACATGGGTTAGACAAAATATTAAAACACACAAAAGATTTTAGAGTTTGTTACCACTTGTGAAAGCCACAGAGAAAAACTAAATGTTGTGATTGTTATGTTTAATTTATTTAATTCATCACTTATAGTAAAAATAAGTAAGTTATCGATTTTTTTCTATTTTATTAGCTTCCTTTTTTATTATAGTTAAAATGTTATGAATTTACTAAAATAAATAAAAGCTGCCTGTTTCCTAATGACTGAATAGTGAAATAACTTTTATACTTTCTGGTCACAATAAAGTGAATATCTTTATTAGCATTTTTGGTTTGTCTTTCGCATTTGAAGATTTATAAATCTTGAATTGAGGTAAGTTGGTTTTACACACAAACATTCTGAAATTCTCCTTAATAACATTAAAAATTTTATTTTCAGAAAAGATTTCTTTGCAAATTTCATATTAACAGCCAGTGATTATTAAAGTAAAGCATTGCTCATTTTGCGTTGAAGTCCTGCTTACGTGATTTAAGGACGAATAATGTACCAGAGTAAACAATATAAGGAGCGTCGTCAGATAGAGGTAAAGTTGGTTTTATATTCGCACATTCGGTATTTCCCCTTAATAATATAATTTCAGAAAAGTATTATTTGCAAATTTAAAATAGCGAAATCATATTAGCAGCCAATGACTATCAAAGTACAACATGTCCACGGTCAAATAAACAGTCTATAATGTTGTTTTCAAGTCACACTTGCATGCCAATTCGAACATTATTGAATATTCAAAGTAATATGGTAAACAATATAGAGACTTCTAAATTTCTAAATGAACAAATGTGCGTATATAAAACCGACTTTAACGTTACCTCTATCGTCGTCAGTTGTCACTGATTGAATGTGCAAATATAAAAGCATTGTTACTTTAATGACATTTGGGGGGGGGGTGCTAGGAAGGTTAAGCTATATTACAGAAATATCATCTGTTTCCTAAGTGTTTTTATTATTTTGTCAAACCCGTCACGTTAGATTCTATATATAAAACAACAGCTCGTTAGTTTAAGGGAAAACGGGAGCGTTGGTAGGTAACTTGTGCTTAGCACCTCTTTCAATTGTGTCAGTTCATTGACTTTAGCCAACTAAATATTCACATTTATTCCCAATTATGTACCTCCATGTCGACACTTGAAACAGTGTGACTGCAGGGATCCCCGAAACACCGCTGCTCTGGACGCGTCGGTCAGAATAACACGAGTCCAAATGTTTAGTGCCTGCAGCGCCATGTCTGAACTGAACTCACTTCTTCTTCTTCAAATAATTTTACGGCGGTTGGCATCCAGCGTTTTGGTGCTTTACTGCCACCTTCAGCTCCGGAGTGTGGACCAGAGGTTGGGTTTATAGATTAATACACCCCCCCCCCCCCCCCACAGCCCCCCACTTCCTTCTTTTCCACCCATTCTCTCTCACACACACACACAAACACACACACACACACACACACACACACACACACACACACACACACACACACACACACACACACACACACACACACACACACACACACACACACACACACAAACACCTCAACCCTATGTTATAATAATAACCATAATACTCTAATACTACAATGTACTCTAATACTATAATAATAATAATAATACTAATAATAATAATAATAATAACCACCACAGTACTCTTATACTCCTACTTTTACTTCTACTACTTGGTTATATTTAACTCTATTCCCTTTAAATCAAATCAAATCACTTTTATTGTCACATCATCAGCAGCACTTTACCTTCTATTATAATTTAAATTATTTATTCATTTATTTTATATGCTATCATTAAAACACCTGTTTCTCTCAGATACTTTATAAGTATTCTGGTCTGAATCCTGTCCTTTGTACTTAGTAAACCTTTTAATGCTATTTCCTGAATCCCATCTCCCTTAGATTATTTCTCATTTCCTCCCTCTTTGTTTCATACCTTTTGCATTTTAGTATCACAGGTTCTACTGACTCCACTTCACTACAGCCCTCACATAATCCAGTTTCATGCTTTCCTATCAATTTAAGTGTTTTATTTAATAAACAATGATCTTGTTATCACTATTTCTTCTCGCCTGTTACCACTACTGACTGTTTTGTGTTTAACAACCTGATGAATTTCATACAAATGCCTTCCTTTCTTTTCTCTGTCCCACTTCTCTTGCCATTTTAAATAAAATTACCCATATTAGACTTTTTCACTTCTGCTTTACTAACCGTTATTGGCATTTCTACATTTTCTTTTGTTAACACACTTTTTGCTAATTTGTCAGCCATTTCCCTTGATCCCATCATGACCTGGAACCCATATAAACTTCACCTCCTTTCTCTGACATGTTATTTTTGTTATACACTGGAGTACTCCATACAAAATTTCTTGTCTACTTGAAGAAAATGACCTTAGACTTGCAAGAGCAGATGCGGAGTCTGAACATAGCAAGATTTTGTCCTGCCCTGTCAATTCTACCCATCTTAATGCTATAACATAGCTAGCACCTCCACTGTGAGCACTCCCACATAATCAGATGTCCTATTTATTTCAATATTTTTTCCCTGGTATAACTACCCCAATCCAAACACTCCAGTTTCTGGGTTTGCTCCATCAGTAATGATCTGTGTGTACTCTTTGTATTTTTCTTCGACCCTTTGGTTAAATATTCTTTCCAGATTTATGCTATCCAGCCTCATTCTTTTCCTATAGCACAAACCAGTCAACCCCAGGCCACACTATCCATGGAGCAATTTCTGGATAGATGACAGTAGAACTTATTCTCAAATTAAACACTCCTAATTATTTTGCCACCATCTTTCCACACCGACCCAAATTCTCCTTTTGACTTTGTCCATTTTTCTAACTCACCTGTAATACTGCCTTAGTAATATGTGAATTTGTATGCCCTTGAAAACCTACCCAATAATAAGCCATCAACTGCTTCCTTCTTAATTCCAGTATCAATTCTCCCATTTCCACTTGAATAGCTGACACGGGTGTTGTCTTCAAAGCTCCACTACATATTCTCAGTGCCTGAGCCTAAATTACTTCTAATTTATTCAAGTTTGACTTGGCTGCTGAACCATACACTATACACTACCCTAATCTCACACTGACGTTTTTAGAGCTGAATATGTACTATACTGAGATAGTGAGCTTGCACCCCAATCTTTTCCCCTCAAACATCTCATTACATTAATTACCTGAACTCAAACACTCACACCGACTGTGCACTTTCTATCAGACATGCAAGTACGAATCAATATTGTAGCAGATAAAACTATTTATGTTGATTTGTTTACTAAAATCTATTCACATTTTTAAAGCGCATTAATAAATTATATATATATATATATATATATATATATATATATATATATATATAATTAGGAAAACCCCGATCCCTAAATCTGATACCACCTTTTTAGTTAAAGAAATGGAACATTCCAACATGGCGCTCTCCTGTTAACGGTTATGTAAACGATGCAGATTTGACATTATTTCTTCTAAAGTAAGTATTAAAGTGTTGATTCAGAATTGTTTTTTCTTTCCTGACTGTCGATACGCTTATTTTAACGTGGTTTAAAACGCTTCGATTACTCCTGCTAATCGCTCTTACAACTGTCGCATTTGAAGCAGCAGATGGCGCTATTGATAGCAGAATGAAACGTCAACTATTTCATTGTACAGCCCTAAAGCTGGCTATAATCCCCATTGTAGACTTGTTTTAAAGCCCTTCAACATAGTTTTGAATGATTATTAAAATTTGCAAGTCTAAATGAAAATTAGCCTTCACCTGCTTGACTATCACTGATTGATCTTAATTCAAGATACTTCAAAATGAGCACTGCATAAAAGTTGTTCAAAACACAAGAGTTTTCTGTCTGTACTGATGTTGTAATAATTGTAATACTACTACTACTACTACTAATAATAATAATAATAATTATTATTATAATAAACATCAGTATCGAACCAATAGGCTAAACGTGTGCTTCTTATCCTCTTGCTGGTCTGCTGTAACAGCAAGAGATAATCAATTTGCCTGATAATTGCCCAGCTTCTTTTCTCTTCTTTGGAAGGTCATATTAATGGTTCTCGGTGTTGAGAAAGAGTTTAATAACACTTCACGTATGTGACAATGTCCACCCAACTGTTTACTGGTTTTGGTATACCAGGCTCGTTTCAGAGGGGTTTTGGCCCTTTCCAGGCTGGTTTTAGCTGGTCATGCTGGGAGACCAAGTGTAATGACAAACTAAAACCAGCTTGACCAGCCAAGCAGATTTGAATTGAAATAAACAAGTGTATCTTAATTTAAAAGCCACATGTAAGAACACAATGGAGATTAAAGAGTAATCCACACAATCCTAGGTATAACCCCGTGGATTTTCATGTCTGTACTATGTACTAGATGAGCAAGATGATCATGTAAAGGATTGCAGACCAATGGAGTTGACTTTGTGATTGATGACTGTACGGGACTGTCAGGTATTGAATTTGTGGCTGAACCCAAGGGCATCAGCTCTGTTAAGCTGGACATTGTGGTCATGCATGCCTATTCATTGTGATGGCTGCTTTTTGGATTTTCAGAAAACAAAAACAGATACAATAAATATGTGTATGCATGTTATGTACATAACAACTGACAGGATGACATAAATGTTAAGCATGTGGTGTCTTTTGCCCTGATTGGGTGTCAAAGAGAAATTGTTATTCGACTGCCTGGAGTTCATATAACTGTCTAATCAATGACAAGAACTGCTGACCGAGCAAAGCCAGCAGGAGATCTATTTATTTCAAGATGGAGGAGAAGATCTGCATATATACTATTTAGATGATGCTGTTGGCTAGTTTTTTTCCCAGAAAAAAAAAAACGAACCTTTCTTTGGGTTTTTTAAAGAACATCCTCAAAGGTGACTTTTAAAATACTTAAAAAGATTTTAATTTTAAAAATTGTTTTAATTTAGCGGTTAGTACTTTTAATAACTACTCATAAAAATGTATAGAAACATGTACTATGTACTCATTTATATATAAATTGTGTGGGACATACAGAACAATGTGTTAAAAACTGTTATTAGTCTCCTCATGTTGGTCCTGATGGGACTCTGCTGAGTGTTTCCGTAGCAACAGCACCTCACCCTATTCAGCTGAGACCGCCTTTGCCCAATTGAAGGCAGACTCTCAAGTGTGCTGGATTATTGATGAGATTCAACATGGAGGTGTGCAGTATCTATGTACAGTATCTGTTTGAGACAAAATTGAAACAAAGTGCTTTAACGTGTATTTCTTGTTCATTTCTGGTGACTCAGTATGTTTTGTACAGTGTGTGCGGGCAAATTACAGGTTTAAATATAGTGCTTTCTTCAGCATAACACACTGTGTCTAATTTGGTGTTTAGCAGCTGTGCTTCGTTATATATTTTTATATTATCTTTCTCTTGTTTACATTTCTCAACATGTATAAGCTACTGAATATTTTGATAAACTTTTAAGTAATTTAAACAGTGAATGATTGAATACTAAGTATGATTATATAAATCTTTTTCCTACAAAAATCATTCAATAATTTGTAAAAATATTCTAATTTACATTGACACTTTCAAAATCAAAATCAAATATGTAGTTATCCACTTATGTTGCAGTTTTTTGTATTTTATACAAATTGGATGAATTATTTTGGGAAGTAATGTTGTGAATAATAGTTTTTAGGCTGAGAAGATTAGCAAATGCTAGCTGTATTAAGTCACTGAAGTGTTTCTGTGGTTGTGCATTTGGAAGACTGCATTTGGATTACATGAATGCTTTTGGAGTGCTTTTCTTCAAACTCATATATATATATATATATATATATATATATTTTTTTTTTTTTACATATGCGTATATTACAATTATTTTGCATCAAAACAAAACAGAGCAGTGCTGAATAGATTACTTACTAGCTGTATTTTGCTATACTGCTGACAAATTCCATGATTAAAATTGTAATTAGTACCCTAATCTATTTCATTATTCATTATTTATTTCTCATTATTTAAGATGTTCTACTTTTTTAATAGCTTTTGATTACTGACCTAACATTTTAAACCTAAGTACATACTTAAAGTACACATTTAAGGTCTAAGAGAACTAAAATAAATAAATAAAAATCTTAGGAATTCCAGCATTAGATACACATTAAAAAGTTTTCCAGGAGTGAAATATTTTGTGCAGACCCCCAAAAGCAGAAATAGTCCGTTGTTTGTTTTTTTTAAGAAGAGAAAAACTTTCCACCAAAATGTTATTTAAGGAATTAAACAAGGTTTTTCTAATCTTTTTTACCGCCATTGTGGGAATAATTAAGTGGAAGTCAAAATTATTAGCTCTCCTGTGATTTTTTTTTCCTCTTTTTTCAAATATTTTCCAAATAATGTTTACTAGAGCAAGAAATTTTTCACAGTAATTCATATAATATTTTTCTTCTGGAGAAAGCCTTTTTTGGTTTATTTTGACTATTTAAAAAAATTAAGGTAAAATTATTAGCACCTTTAAGCTATATTTTTTGTTTGACTGTTTGCAGAACAAACCATCACTATACACTGACTTGCCTAATTATCCTAACCTGCCTAATTATTCTACTTCAAAGTCTTTAAATGTCACTTTAAGCTGAATACTATCTTGATAAAATATCTAGTCAAATATTATTTACTGTCATCCTGGCAAAGATAAAATAAATCAGTTATTAAAAATTAGTTATTAAAACTATCGTGTTTATAAATGTCTTCTCTCTGTTAAACAACAATTGGAGAAAAAATAAACAGGTGGGCTAATAATTCAGGGGGGCAAATAATTCTGACTTCAACTGTGTGTAAAAATGTAATAAAAAAGGGACTGATGAATCTAATTAAGAGTCTTTAAACCATAATAGAATCACATTACAAGTACTTCATTTTGTTCCCAATCTGATTACATAATCCATATTATGTGTAACTGTTAGCGCTAGCACTGAAAAAGAGCTGATCACTTTAGGCCACATGAACCAGCTGGCCTCAATCGATCTGCTGACATCATGCTCAGATACATAAAAGTAATATGCGATGACCCAGACGTCTCCCATTGAACTTCAGCCAATGTTATTACTGTGGTACTTTTGCCGCTAGACATTTCCATTCTGATTTAACGCTACGATTCTGTCTGGGTTTGAAAAGTGCCCGCAGTGCCCAGGTCATCATTAGTTAATGTCCTCTTTGGCACAGGGGCAGTGGCAGAGCGGTGACCAGCCTGCTCTCCCTCAATAACACAGATGTTAAAGCAAACCTGTGTTGGTTTACTATAAAGAGTATATTTGCTATTGACATTTAAAGTAATACACAGCTTTTACTCTCGTTTTGAGGTTTAGACTTTGAATGCACAAATAACTCACCTAAATCCAGTTCATTTAGGGTAAATTTGCCCCAAAATGATCTTCAACCCAAAACAGATACATGATCCCTGGGGCTCAGGACTGTTTTGTAGCCAATTAAACTCTCAGAAATCCCTCTGAGCAACTCCAAGCACAATTCCCCATGCACATAACCACATTTGAAGCAGGAGAGCTAGCATGTTCTACAAAAAACAAACACACATACGCAAAATGTTCCACAACGTTATTTATTGTGGACTCATTTGCCTTCTTTTTAATTGTAGTTCCCTTTACATCAAACACGCCGTAGTTGTGAAGAGATATCGCACACAAACATCAGAAAAAGCACAAGGTAATACTTTCACTTGAGACTATTCTCTAGATATGAGATTAGGAATGAAAAAAAAGGAAAGATGCAAGTTCACAAGATATATACTTTATATATTTCATAGACAACTGCAGACATATTCTTACTAGCACCCGAAGGTGAGCGAGGAGAACCAGAGGGATTGTTTGTGAGGGTTTGAGAAAATTTACCTTGAAGTGTTACAGTGGATCAGAGGAAAAGAGGGGAGTGATAGACTAGATCTGTGTGTTGTGTTTAGTCGTTTAAATGTCTTGCGGATAAACAACAATGCACTTTGCTGAAGCATGTGGCTAGAAGAGTCTGTTGACTGCTGCTGACATTAGTATGCATTTAAGTAGAGTCCAGTTCTGAGATATTAATGTCATTTCCAGTTACTGTTATCATGAACTGCAGAACAGGGTTGCGCCACAATGACACCAAAATCCCTAGTATAGCTGTTAGTTGAGCAGCTGTAATAGTTTAACCTAAGGCATAATACTGTTATGAACTGTAAAATCCTTGTAGTGGTTCTGTCAGTTAGTATTGGTATAATCCGTTCAGCTTAATAGACAGAAATGATCTTTAATTGATGATCAAACTCCTAATCAATAGGCTTTGTTAAAGTGAAATTCCCATAAGCCCATGATTTTCAACATTTAGATACTGTAAACTAGATCCAAACTCGTGATGATTTCAGTCATGTCCTTGCAGTAAACAATGAGTTTCCCCTCTTAGAACAAGAAAGCACAGAGAAATGTCAAGGATAATACATTACTCATGCACATATCATCCGACCACTCACTCTGTCGCTAAGCAATTAATTATTACAGTACAGTGCAATTTTATAAAAAAAAACAATTCCTAATGAAAGGAAAGCTTTCGCTTACTTAACTTTCAATGAACCACAATCTTGATGGCTTTTGCTGGCAACATTGACATGCTAACATAATAAAAAAATGTACATGGACAAGATTTGAATGAACAGTGCATATACTTTAGAAGAGCTCTCAAAACTGAGTGAAATGCCTATGTGCATTTAGTGTATGAGGAAAAAACAATAGCTGTCCAAGAAAAACCAAATAGCTGAATGTTGACACACAAGTTTCACATGATAGAGATTTCCTTTCATCATTAAATTCATATGAATGGCCAAAAAGCAATTTTCCAAGTTATAAATTAAGCATTAAATAAGGCAAATAAATATAGTAACTGTATTGCTCAGTTAATAGGATAAAAACATTAGCAAATATATGCAAACAATATGCAGTACAATTTGATTAGTAACTATTAACTATTAACTATTAACTATCTACTTACTATTAGTAAGTAGAAAATTTGATAAGTTATATTAACAAATTCATAAAGGCTGGTGAAATTCAAGAAATTTGAAACTAATGATGGCTAGTCAGAAATATCTCCTACCCTCATGGCAATAAAATTAATGAAATTAATTCTTTGCTAGCCGGAGACGAAGAGGAACAGGATGTTTCTTTTTAACACAACATTAAGGTTGTTATATATGATTTATGGTGTTCAATGTTTTCTCAAACATTTCATTTTTTTACTTTTAAATTGGTAGACCTTTATTCTATCATTTAATTGCAATGGTAGCAAGCTTCACATTCATATTCTAAACAAGTCAGTGCAGATGGAATATCTTTTGCATCTTATGATACTGTATATGCGTAATAGCGAATCATACATACCCTTTCATTGTCATCATATTAAGTGCATCATATTTTTTGTACATTCAGTTTTACTTTCTAAGGCATTGAAACAATCCCTCAACCTTTGGTGTAAACATTTTTATTTGAGTTCTGGTTTTAGAGATCCATGGATCCATTTATCATCTGCTTTAAAATTAGTGAATTTGTTTAACTGGAGCTGCTCAGTACAGTTCATCCACTGACTAATATGTGTATTTTGTTACAGTTTGCTCAAAAGTAGCTTTTGTGTGTGTGTATGTGTTTGATGAGGTCTGATACACACCCAAAACTGCTCTGTGTTGTCTAATGCCGAGTTCACACTGAATAATTTTAGCCCCAGTTTACACTTGCCGACAGGCTTTGTGAAATCGCTGACAAATGGATAAAGTCAGAGGCAAATTGGTGCCTGTTTATGTGTGACACAGTGTGAATTATCAAAGACGTGCTGTGTGAAATGAGTTTTGACTGAAAAACATATCAGCGATGACCTACAGCCAATGACAGAGCAAGATACAGGGCAGCGGGGAGTTTGGGGAGAATTTATAGATCATTATCCAAGAATAATTAAGCTTTACAATAACATCCCAGCGGGCACAGGATGTCAACATAACATCAGATTCACATTGTACCTCAACATTGTGGGGATGTTGCATTTTGTTTGCAAATGAAAATTGGGTTGACATCAGAACCCAACGTCAGCCGACATCAATGTCTGATGTCCAACATAAAATCAACCAAATATCAATGTCTAATGATGTTACAGCTTGACGTTATGTGGACGTTACCACTATGACACATCTATCAGACAATAGATTTTGGTTGCTATACCTGACAAATAAATGTCAGTATTTGATGTCAATATGACGTTCGTATGAGATGTTGGGTCGACGTTGGATTTTGGTCACTTTCCAACACAACCTAAAATCAACCAAATATTAACATCATTTGACGTCATTATTGGATGCCAAAATACTGTTGTCCTTAGACGCTGGCTAGACATTTAATTTTGGTCACCTGACGTCACGACCTAAATTTAACCTAGTAATAATTTCTTATAACATTGTGTGCCTGCTAGGATTGAACAGAACGAAAAAATTTGCTTGACCAGCACCTTATTTATTGCCCTCCAACTCACAACCCTTGTTCCCTGCATCTCCCAAACAATTTTCTTAATCTTGTTTTTCTCTTTTTCAAACCAGGTGAATGGCAAATTATCTTAAAATACTTATTACAGTTTACCATTCTCTAGTCTCAAGCATAATCTTGAATTTTTTTTAGCACTACTTGTGTGCCTTTGCAGGTCAGACAGAGTTGCGGACAATTGTTTCTAGTGTAGTCATGCAGTGTGTATCCTCCGGTCACTGATCCATCAAGCAGTGTGAACACCACAGCAACTGAATGCTACCCTCAGAGAGTCGTGCCATATGAAAATAATGTTGATCCGGAAACGTCATGCAGTGTGAACTCGGCATAAAATGTCTAACCAAACATTTTCACAACCTGAGACCTCAAAAAGTACTAAACAAATCTACTGAGAAGCATTTTACCAGTTCCTCTATTGAAAGTGATACAAAACATTTGCTTTTGTGAACGTGTATCAAGATTTCCAATTGTGTGCTCTCCAACATCATACCTCATGACAATCACAGCTCAATCTTACATGCAGGGAAAGACTCATCTTGCATGACTACAGTGCTGCTGCTTGCCAAAACCATGATGTTTAGGTCTTGCTGCTTCTCATGGGTCTCTTGGTACCACTCCCTCATAACTTCTGTATCATGGGTTGGAATCAGTGTGACCTGGAGGTGTAAGAATACTCAAGTCAAAATCAAATCCAGTCATTTTATGGAATGGAACATTCATTTAGGGGAAATCTAAGCTATCAAATCATCCATTCATTCATTTTCTTTTCGGCTTAGTTTCTTTATACATCAGGAGTCGCCACAGTAGAATGAATCGCAAACTTATCCAGCATGTTTTACACAGCAGATGCCCTTCCAGCTGCAACTCATCACTGGAAAACATCCATACACTCTCGGTCCCACACATACACTATGGACAAATTACCTAAGATACAATATACCTATACTATGTCTTTGGACCGGAGCACCCGGAGGAAACCCATGCCAACATGAGGAGGACATGCAAACTCCACACAGAAATGCCAACAGATCCAGCCAGGGCTCGAACCAACAACCTTCTTTCTGTGAGGCGATTGTGCTACCCACAGTGCCACCATGACGCCCACTATCAAATCATTTATTTATTTATTTTTTTAATTAAATAATGGTACCTGCATATTATTTCCCCATTGGCTCTTTCCTTCCAACAGAGCATCCAGAACTGCTTTACTAGGTTCCTGTGCTGTTGGATCATTACCACTGACTACATAGTAGGAGGATCGGATCCGTTTAAAGAACTCTGCATCCACATTCTTTGCATTGCAGTGGTTTGGTATGTAAACTAGGTCCATATACATTGTAGGACAGTTGGGTACAGATGTTCCACCGCTGGACTTGGTGCTTCCTTAATAGAAATAAAAACAAAGATAAAGAAGTCTGTAAAAAGTTAAAGATTATAGACATTTAACTATATGTTTTGTCAGGTTTTACAGTACACATGTGTTTTGAGTGTGAAACTAGTGTTACCTGAAGTGCTGTTTTTCACTCCCCTTGATGCAGAGGTATTAGTTGCATTTTTGGCATCTTTATCTTCTGTAGACTTTTTTGGAGAGGACACTTTCGACTCTTTGATGGCACTTGTTTTTGACAAGCTCTTTGTTGCAGATGGCTTAGTCTTGCTGCTGATGTTCTTTTTCGGTTTCCCGGATGCCTCCTCAGCCTTCAGGACTTCAGGATCTACCATGCAGGCATCAGGATGTGGAGGAGTAGGAGCAGGGTCTCTGGGTGTGACTGGAGGTGGGTCTGCATGACGATAAGTGATCGTCCTATCTGTTGGAAGTGTTTCTGAGTCATCTTCAGAGTCAATATTTGCATCTGCAGTTATTGATGGGCACTCTTCTGTGCCAGGAGGAACATCAGAGTCTGTTTGAGAGGGCGCTGATTCACTTACAGAGGTGGGTGGAGTTTCCTCACACTGTTTGGTCTGCTGTTTCTCTTCAGGTGGCGGTGGTCCTTCTCCTGACTTAGCAAGAGGCTTTTCCTCCCCCAAATTAGGTTCCTCAGTCATGAAGTACTCAAGAGGACTGGGGTTTATAAAGGATGGAGAAAGCTCTGTTTTTGGATGTCTGTATTCACAGGAGGTCACCAAACACAAGTCCACTTCTGCTCGTGACTGAGAATGGCATGCTTTTGAGGTTTCTGGTCCAATGGACCCACCATCACAGATTTGAGTAGATTCTACATTTTGACAACTGTATGAATATGATGAAGAGCTGGTGGAAAATTTATCTAGAGTGTCTGTCTGAGTGGAAGAAGGGGAAAGTTGGGCTGGAGGTGACATTTTGGGGCTGGTGGGGGATTTTGAACCTGTGAAGGTAGTAGTTTCTGAGCCAAGTTTAAGCTCTTCTGTCTTTTGAGAAAAACACAATGATTCAGTAGGAGATAAGGGTGAACTAGCCTTTGGAGGAGTCCTCTCTAGATTTTGTGTGTCCTCTGATTTATCCATAGCACTCTCTTCATAAAATGAATTGGGACTAAGTTTACCTTTGTTTACTTCTTCATGAGAGATACTTGGTCTGCCTAAAACAAGGGATGAGTCAAGAGACAAAGGAGACTGTTTGCTAGGTGACTGTTTTGGAGTGACTGACTCTGATAAATTATCTAGATCTGGAGAAACTTCTCTTGGCTCTGCAATTTGGCAGGGTGTTGTAACTGATGGGGTAGACTGAGATGCATCTGATGGGGAGGCAGAAGCAGCCTGGGTACTATCAGAATCTTTAAAAAACATTGCCTTATCCCCAGCTTCCCCAGGTCTGTGTTGTTCTCCCATGGAACCAACTTCATCCAAGGGACTATCATCAACTTCTGTGGGACCATTCTCAGTGGCTGTAGACTGCATTCCTCCTACTGATGGATGATCAGGTGATTGTTTGCTGAAATCCAATGCAAATGAGTGTTCTGGGGATTCTTGTTCACACCCAGCTGACAACTTCTCAGGGGATTTTGTTTCTTGTTCTGGCATTCTTAGTTTAGCTGTCTTTGGTGAAACATCGGGAGAGATTGACATAGGACGGGGACTGTCCTCCTTAGATGGAGAGACTTCTGCTTCCTGCATCGTGGTTGGAGTCTGAACAACTGAGACAGAAAAAGAATCATCCACTTCTGTGGAATGAGGGGAGCCCACTTCAGCATGAAGTGATGGAGAGACATCATCTGTTGTCGGTTCCGGTAAAGAACTTGTTGCAAGTGAGGCTGTTGATGCAGAGGCAATGTGAGAAAATGTGTCGTCTGCAACAACTTCATCAACTGGAGTGCCAGACTTATCAGATGTTGTCCCTTCAGATATGGACATTTTACTGTCCTCTTTAAATGTTGTGAAATGCTTTGTTTCAGACAGACTTTCTATTTTGGATGGTGGCAATGATGTGGCAGATATTACTGATGAATTGTCATCAGTTGCTATTTTTTTATCACTATTGTCAGTTTGACTTGGCAATTTGCTGTCAAATTCAAAATTGGTCGATAAGTGTGCTTCATAAATTGGTGATTGTTTCTTTCCTGGTTGTGAAACAGGCACTGCTTCATCAATAGGACTAGCCTCTCTGGGAGAGTATTCCTTGTCACTTGTGATGTCAACAATAACAGGACCCTGGGCCTCAGATGTTTTCTCAGATGGTAGAGTGCCAGCTTTCTCCTCAACCGGCGACTGGTAGAAAGGTGTGTGTCCTGAGGATTGAGGAGATAAAGGGCCCTCTAAGGTCTTCTCATCTGGACTGTATGATTCCAGACCTTTTGATATACCTGCTAGTGTGGTTCCCAGTTCAATAGGTGAAGATACACCTGCATGCACAAGGTCAATGTTTACATTTTGGTCAACAGAAGGTGACCTGACAAAAGGCAAATTTGTAGTAGTAGTGAGCCTGCTTGAATCAAAAGAGAATGTGTCTTTAACTGAAAAATCCTTGACAGATTTATCTTCCTCCAATGAAGATGGTGGTGAAATGGTGGAAGCTGACACATGATAATCATGGCCCTCAGTGGCATCACTCTTGGAGTGGTCTAATTCAGGAACATCTTGAAGAGGTGAAAGTTTCTTTCGTTCATGTTCTGTAGTTATACCGTACCTGACAAAATCTTGGGAAGGAGAATCGCTTTCATCATTAGTTGTCTCATCACTCATTACATCTCTTGGAGTTGACATTTCATCCATAGGCGTTGGGACACTTGAGATCTCAATCGTAGACTGAGTGTGTCCAGATGTTGTGTATTCTTCTGGAGGCTCATCTCGGTTTTCATCATCAGAGGCAGCCTCACTTTCTGAACCTGCAGGTAGGGTTTCATCATGAACTGAATCAGCAGGAGACAAAGGTGCAGTGAGCTTTGGTGGTGTGGTTACATCAAAACATTGCAACTTTGTTTCTTTGTCAAGATATTCTGGTTCATCGGTACCATAATTTGCCCCTTCCTTGGTTTCAAGCTCTGCCTGTTCATCTTTTAATGTAGATATTGCTCTGTCCTGCTCATCCACTTCCTCTGTCTCTCCCTTTTCTTCATAGTCCCCTAACTCAGAGGACTCTTCCAACCCTGTCCCTTCATCTTCAAACTTTTCACTGGTACCGTTGCTTTTCTGATTGGGTTCTAGTTCCCCTGGAGTACCTCCACATTCCTCCTCAGCTTCAGTGGTTGCTATTCCTTCATCCAGGGACTCTGCTGCTTCTGGAGACTCTTTGCAATGAGTTATTTCTTCATGTCTAATCACTTCTTCTTGATTAGAATCGTCTATTTTGGTCTGAGAAAGGACCTCATCATCTTCAGCCATCTCTTCTGCTTTCAAAGCCTCAAAATCTTTAGTGAGGTCCTCTGGAGAAGACATAAGTGATCTCTCTGCCTCAAGTACATCTGTTGCACTGTCTTCCACGGTGGGCTCTTCAACCGTGGCTCCTGAGACGGAAGGTGCTGCCACTGATTCTCCTGCATCTTTTTTGGTGGGCTTGGACTTGGCCTTGTCTTTAGATCTGGCAGGGCTACCAGGGCTCTTCCCACGTGCTGCAACCTTTGGTTTAGGTGCAGGTTTTTTCACATCAGGTGTGCTAGGGGCATTCTTTTTCAAGCTACCAGTTTTCCTTAAATCTTTCATTGGCTCTTTTGAATCTTTTAGGGATTCTTTCTTTTCATCCTTTCTGCTCTCCTTTAATAGGGAGTCTTTCCTGACGTCTCGTCTTTTAATTTCTTTTTTCACTTCTTCTTTCTTTACCTTGTCTTCTTTTTTAACCTTGTCTTCTTTCTTGGGTACGTTTTTTTCAGTTTTAACAGTCTCAGTCTTTTCCACAGATTTTTTGGATTCCTTCTTTATAGTTTTTGGTTTAATTTCAACTTTCTTTTTCTCTGGAGTGTCAGTTTTGTGTGTTTGCTCAACCTTGCTTTTAATGTCCTTTTCCCCTGCTTTCACTTTTTTCACAAGTGTTTTTTCCTTTTTCTCTATTTTTTGTGTTGGCTCCTGTTTTTCTGCTGGTTCAGTTTTACTTACAGTTTTTAGTTTTTCAGTGGTTTCTTCCCTGGATTCTTTGTGGAGATTTTTGGTAGGGGATGGTTTTGATGTGGACTTGAGACTCTCTTTACTGTCTGTCTTATGTTTCATCTTTGCTTGTTTCAGTGTCGGGGCTAAGTTTAAATTGAGCTCATTTTGTGTGATCACAGGATATTTGAGGAAGTCTAAGTGTTTAAGTTTTTCTAGGCCTTCTAGAATATGATTCTGAGTAGAATTGCCTGGAAAAAGGACGCGGACAATCTTTTCTGATGGGTTAGCAGGATGCCACACAATCAGCGATGAGATAGAGGACAAATATGACACGGGGAGTTCTGATTCTTTTCCATTTGGTAACAAGATGGTCGCTTTGTCTTTATCACTACCAGACCATTCTTTCAGAAAAAACTGCAACTCCTTACTGTTCTTAGCTGGGTTAAGAACATACATTTCAAGCTTTCCGACCCCCATTTTCTGGAATAGTATAATTGGTTCTACTGTATTACCTATACTCCTATGCAGAGGTTCAGGTTTTAGAGACAACTTGTTTAAGTACTGCAGTGTGAAGGCTGCCTCCTCTGCATTTCTTCTAATTCTGTAGTTGGGTTCAAGATTTTCCAGGTTCTGAGGCATGTTGGCAAACATAACACCAATATCAGGTGAGATCATATTCTTTGTCCAGTCACTGTTAGCTGTAGACCCCTGTGACTGCTCCTCTTCTAGTTCAGCTATTTTGCGCTGTAGCATACTATTGATACCTGGAAGGTTATCATCTCCAATGTGTGTAAGGAGAACAGAATCTACTCTGTCCAAATGTCGTACCAGCTTCCAAAAGCATGACTTTCTATCAGATCCACCATTAATTAGCATGTTGAAACCATTAACTGCAAACAATGCAGAGTCACCCCGTCCACCAGGGAATATATAGCAGCATGGTTTTGATAATTTTAGAAACCCCCCTGAGGTTGGGGGCTCCAGCATGTCAAATGGGGATGAGATTTCTACAGATTCTGACAGATATTCTGTAAATTCAGAAAGACCTTCCATTTCTGGAAGGATGGTTGGGGAGTTTAGCTTCATGTAGATGAAATCCTGTAAGTTGTGTTTGTCCAGGTTTGAATTTTTCCAGTCACCATGCTCAGGACAAAAAAGGGTTAAACTGGCTTTGTTGGCTGGATGTACGGTGCTAAGAAGCTCTCCAATCTGTAAGTCAAATTAGAAATATGTTACTTACTTAATTTGACCCTGGACCACAAAACTAGCCAGTAATGTAATTTTTAAAATTGGGATTTATACATCAACTGAAAGGTGAATAAATAAGCTTTCCATTAATTTATGGTTTAATAGGATTTAACAATATTTGGGCAAAATACAACTGTTTGAAATATGTTTAAAATCTAAATACAAAGAAAATAGCTTTGTTGTCTACACAAAGTGCATTGCAATACACATTACACATAACCTGCCAAAAATTGCCACAACAACGTTTACACAAAAATTGCCAATATTATAGCCAAAAATATAGCCATGCAACATAAAATCAGCTTTGTTGTCCAGGGTCACATTGTCAGGTTACAGTGTAAAGTGCATGTTTTCACCAAGAAAAACAGTCACTTACCTCTTGATCTGTAAAAATGTCAATGAAACTGGAGAGAGAAAAGGAGCCTGATTGAAGAATCAGCTCGCCTGTATTTTCAAAGCACTGTCCTGCCAGGACAAGCAGCTTATGATGGGCTGTGTCTGAGACCATTAGCCGTACCTAGGTGTAAACAGAGTTTATACTATTTATGTACTACAAGAAACATTTGCAGATTATTTTTAGGTATAACATGTAAGTGCAATATCTACAAAAAATGAATGATGTTACCAAAATGTTACCAATTTGATGTTACCAAAAAGATGAAATCATACTCCTAAAAACCTGGCCAACAAAAGTATGCCTGTTTCTATGAGCTCAGCTAAACTTTTTGCAGTTATCTGTGACTTTAACTTTAAAAATCATTCATTTACAAATGTACTTCTGCTTTTCTTTTTTTGCTTTTTCCTCTCTTTTTTTTGTTCACTCTCCATGCCAGCATTTTCCAATTTGTTGCCATTGACTGTTCTGGGCAGCCGGCCAGGGTCAGACCTGCAGTGCTCTACCATATTATTAATGCAGAGTCAAACTGCAGTCATAGTGTGCAAGCACGGCTTTATGGTGTTTGACCGTGTTGTGCATTAAGAAGTTTGCCTGCAACTGTGACACACCCAGTACTGACATACTATTTCAATATCTAGCAAAATGCATAAGAGTTTACATCTGTAGTGTCAAAAACACAATTGTTTTGATCCAACAGCATTTCTATTGATATTGTTGCCAAATCTATAACCACTGCAGATTCTTATCCACAAGCATTCATCTAAACACCTAAACCTATTTAAAAATACATTGAAGTGGCAGACACAGATGTATTTAAAACAAGGAGGAGAAAGTGTGTTTACCTCAGTGCTAACAGCTTCATCTGAAGGGTTAATGAGCACCACTGTCTCCAACACATTACTTTTGTGGTGCAGAATCTTTTGCCCTGAAAATAAAAAGACACGTTACCATGTGCAGGGTTTTATATTTATAGAATTATATAATAGAAATATATAATTTTTAAATAAAAGTGCATGTGGAGATCTTAAAATGTTTGGATTTGTGTTACACTGAATGAAAATAGACATTTATACATAAGACCTGACAGGGCTGTCTTGCTGGTCTCCTATCTTAAGGCCTGCCCAGTTAGAATTAATATGATTGAAAGGTTTATAAGAAGATAATATATTAACATCATTTGATAATTTTGAAGCAAATTTCACATATTTAATAGAATTATTAAACCTCCTAAATTATTAGGCCCCCTGTTTATTTTTTCCCCAATTTCTGTTTAACAGAGAGATGATTTCTTCAACACACTTCTAAACATAACAGTTTTAATAACTCATTTCTAATAACTGATTTATTTTATCTTTGCCATGATGATAGTAAATAGACTAGATATTTTTTAAGACAATATTATTCAGCTTAAAGTGAGATTTAAACTAGGTTAACTAGGCAGGTTAGTATAATTAACATTATTGTATAACGATGGTTTGTTCCGTAGACTATCGAAAAAAATATATAGCTTAAAGGGGCTAATAATTTGAACCTTAAAATGTTTATTAAAAAAAAATAAACTAGCCAAAATATTCTAGCCAAAATAAAACAAATAAGACTTTCTCCAGAAGAAAAATATTTTCAGACATACTGTGGTTTGATTAATTGTAAAACCTTGAAAAACCTAATTAAAATGTTATACAGAGAAATAATGTAATTTGAAAATACCAGTTTGTAACATTAAGCAGCATAATGGGCTGTTTTGCATGGCTAAAAATCAATGGAAGTGAATGAAACCGGAAGACTCAAGACAATAAGGTTAAAATGTCTGCGCCCGCTTCTACAAGAAGAATAAGGTCAAGAAATGTCAAGACCCACACTCCAGTAAACACACAAAATGCTTTTGTTTAAGGAACCACAAAGACACACCAGGAATTGCAGAGTTTGGTGTTTAATTTCATCTTTTCATGAGTATTCATTTAGCTCCTTTTGTCATGCACATACCTTACAACCTATTAAGGTTTAAGTAAACATTTTATTTTATAATGGTCTGGGGTTGAATTTTTTTTATGTGACATCTGTCTTATTTAATTGCCCAGTGTGTACTCATGCACATACTCCCTCCTTCACTTCCTCATTTCTCTGTACACATACTATTGACACAGATATCCAATTAACCCCTGCCCTCTTCCAGCAACCTGTCATCCTTTCTCTTTCAACCTCCTCATGGGTGGAACACAAAAAAGCTTTTATTAAACATGCTTTCCCTTTATTGAATTACTCGGCTCTGTCTATACACATCTACAATGGGACTGTACTGACACTATAATATGTGTATGATTCTTCAATATCTCATTTTTCATATTCCACCCATATGGCTCATAATAAACCAAAGCAAAAAAAAAATGTCTGTCTGGGTAAATCAATCATATTATAAATTCATCAAGCTGTCCAAAAGCGGAGAGGCTGCAAAATAGCAGGAAACAGTCAGCTCCGTCACTGTCAGTACTAGAGCGTTTGCTATTACTGCAGCCCCTTCTGTAACATCGACATCATCACTCAAGCAGTAATTGTTCATAGTCTCATAATCCCCCCACTGGGGTTGTTTATAAAGGTGTAGTGACAAGTGCTGAAAATTGCTTTAAAAATAAAGCTATCTAAAATTTCAAGGCCATCTAAAACACAAGATGGCACACAGATTATACTTTCCATTTGAATTTAGCAGTGCACAGACTGTCACACCACAGACAAAAGTATAAAAGCTGTAGCTGTATCTCCTCCGTTTTATGATCTGGTTAAATTATATGCTTTGATTCTCCAGATATTTTGCAGAATCACTAAAGTGAGCAGTCACATATTTGTGCATAAAACCTTAAAAACAAACCTCAAGCCACACCAAAATCACAGTGCTGGTTTTGGCTCTGTATTATGGTAATTACTAACAGCAGACACATGCTCTTGCTATTTAGAATAATCCATCCTGACATTGACAAGAAAAGTATGTGGTATGTGCATTTGGAAACTTTGCGATGCTTTGCTGTGTCGGAAAATCTACATGCACATTGTAGTGAATGCATCCCATTGTAAACCTTATGATATGTCTATACATTGATATTTCTTGTACTGTTAGCTAATTTGATGTATTTGTGGATTGCGTGGCTCGGTTCTCCTGAGGAGGAAGTGTGTTTGTGCAAGCGTGTGCATATATTGAGGTGTCTCTCTCATGCAGTGTCGGTAATTACAGTGTGTTTCCCACCTGCTGAGTCATCATCACTGCTCTGAATCTATTCACTTCCATCCCTTTATTTCACCATATTCTCTGTGTACCATGTTTAAGCTTACGTCTGTCATTTTCTCAAGTTTTCTTTTCTGTGCTTCACCTTATTTATGTGGAAACAAATAAGTTGGTGATAATTGCAAGATTAATCAGGCCTGCGTTTCCCAAATGCATCAAAAGCCCATTGTGCGATTGATCATAATGTTGTGATCTATTTTAGAAAAGCATTGTAACCTAAGTAGCACCTGAAAATTATTGTAAATCTATAGTCCTCTGGAGAAATTAGCTGAAGCGTGCATCAAGTAAAAATTATAAGGTCACCAGGTGGACAATCATCAGCAAACAACTATAATTTTATTCAAGTGCAGTGTGATTATAATTAAAGACAGTCCCGTAGCTAGCCTATTGAAAAGGGAGGTTCTTAATTCTCACAAAGTGGATCTTTTTGCAGTTATTCTTTCAAATTTCTATTAAATTAGGAGGTTCAAATACTGCATTTTAGTTGCATTTTAAGCACTAATATTTGCTGCATTATCTTGTCAGATGGTGATCATAACCATTTTGATGCAACAAAAATACTTTCTACAATTTTTGTCAAAGAGCTTACCATGCTGATTTACCACAAAGTGTGTATTTAGAAATGTGCGTTTAAACTGTAATTTCTAAAAGTTTTATAAATAATGTTATGAGATTAGAATCTTACATGAAACATTTTTAATACTTATTTTTAAAATACATTTTTTTTTTATTTACAAACACAATTAGGAATATGTTAAAACTTATTTACAAGCAGCTAAAAACATATTAAAACTGTAGCCTGTAGGTAAAAAACAAACAAACTGGCCAGCTCATTTCCTCAGTCAAAATTTGTAAATTAAAATAAATAAAATGTTAAATTCCTAAAGTCCTAAAGCCTTCTTCTCTCCATTATTTTGACAATTTATGATGGAAAACTGTCAAAAGTGGGACAAATGAGTTCATTTAGGGGCCAAACTCTGGACTTTGTCAGTGGGGGGTGGGTCTTTCGAACCACCTGAACTCCCCCTGGCCTGAAAGATTTTGATTGTACTCTATTGTACACTTTATTACTCATTTTAAATTAATTTATAAATGAAATATTAAAATGGGTAGAAAACACACAAGCAAAAAAGAAATACACATCTAAATGAAATGAATGAAACAATTATCAAAAGGTTGAAAGACAAAAAGGGAAAAAAAATAGGGAAATATGGATTTACTTACAAAGATGACAATGACTTGCAGACCACACTCTCAGAAATAAAGGTATGTGAGCTGTCACTGGGGTGGTACCTGATCAAAAGGTACACGTTTGTACTTAAAGGATTTATAATGGTACCTCAAAATTATATATTAGCATCTAAAAAATTTGGGCAACGCAGTGGCGCAGTAGGCTTGCCTCACGGCAAGAAGGTTGCAGGTTCGATCCTCTGCTGGGTCAGTTGGTGTTTCTGTGTGCAGTTTGCATTTTCCTGCATACGCTGGATAAGTTGGCGGTTCATTTCGCTGTGGCGACCCCGGATTAATAAAGAGACTAAGCCGAAAGAAAATGAATGAATGAATGAAAAAATTAAAGAGGAACAATTTTGTACTTTTTAGGTACTAATATGTACCCTTGAGGCATTAATATGAACCTTTTAGGTACAAATTTGTACCTTTTGAAAAGGCACCACCCCAGTGACAGCTCACGCACTTTTATTTTTGATAGTTGTTCTTTAGCCTAAAGGTTTTTTTCAAACATATTGTCAGTGTCTCATTCTGCATGTAGGTAATTAAATAGACTTGATTGCTAATCCATATGAGATGATTTTTGGATTCAACATTCAGCATAAGACTAAGTTTATATTTCAGCACTCTGGAAATGGACAGCGACAGTGCCACTAAATGTACAGGTAAGGGCCACTGATTGTATGAGTAGTGTTTCTAACTGTAAAGGGGTGATTTTATACCTGTTTTATAAAATGTAATATAACTGTTAAAGGTGCTCTATGTACATATTTTGACTGTTCTATAGAAGCATAAAAATACTATATGTTTGCAGATATTTAAGAAACGTACTAATTGTACACACAGAACAAAACATGCTAGAATTAGTTATTTTCCTGTGAAAATGGGGATTTCACATCAGAATGTCTGTCTTGATTTTGTTCTGTGCACTCCCTTTATTATACTCAGAGTCCTACATACTGCACTTTTAAGTGTGCCAAGAATGCTTTTGGGTAGTTTCAACTCCAAAAACCCCACAAAATGAAACATTCTAATGCACACAATGGTTATTTCAAACCACACAAAACACAGCAGTCAACACAATCTTTATAATGTGGGAATGCAAATGGTCAGCAGAAACACTGTCACGTTTACAGCTGAAGTCAGAATTATTAGCTTCCCTGAATTATTAGCACCTCTGTTTATTTTTTCCCCCATTTCTGTTTAATAGAGAGAAGATTTTTTTCAACACATTTCTAAAGATAATAGTTTTAATAACTCATCTCTAATAATTTATTTTATCTTTGCCAGGATGACAGTAAATAATATTTGACTAGATATAAGACACTTCTATACAGCTAAAAGTGACATTTTAAAGGTTTAACCAGTTAAATTAGGTTAAGGTTAGGGTAATTAGGCAAGTTATTGTACGGTGGTCTGTTCTG